TTTTTTTTTTTTTTTTTTTTCCTTCGATGTTCTTATTTTTTTGTTTCTTATTGTTGTCCTCTTTTCATGTTCTCACGGACAGCGATCTGCCATGTTCCTTATTGTCTGCGGCGTGGATGGTGCGCGGCTTGTCTTTCTCCTTCACCAACAACGACATACACACAATTGCAGGACGGTGTTGTCTGTTGTTTGTCATGCCACACTCGCTTCCAACATGCGTGATGATGTGTGTAGACAAACGTCGGTTAGCACTTTTTCCAAACATTCAATCTTCGAAAACAAACAATTCCATTATGAATGTGTACGCCAACGGATTATGACAGCTGCAAAGCGGACCACGCAAGCACGAAGAACAAAAAATCATTGCCACCCTTATTGCTCGCATGTACAGAACCGAAGAAAAACAAAAAACTCCTAACTGAAGGATGAACATGTTAATCAAAACAAGTCTAAAAGAAACCCCCAACCCGAATGCGTTTGTTGTTGTGACACCGAACATAGAAACGTCCACCCCCAACGACCACCGACGTCGTCCGCAGTAGCAGCAAACCCTGGCGCACACCCTGTTCTAATTCTACACGAAAGTGCACACATGCACCCACCTCATCAAACCTATCCCTGCACACCCAAAGGCATCATGAACCCCCCGCGCTCATATCGTCGTTGACAGCGGCGTCATCGCCGTCTTCCGGTGGCCCTGCGCCCAACCAATCGAGCTTTTGAGCCTCCATTGGGGAAGACAAAGTGGCGTCGTGCGATAATTTCACGCCGATTAACGCCCAGTCTGGGATGTACACTGGAGGGGCCAGCAAGGTGATCGGGGGTTTCGCCCGTTTGTCCGTGATGGCAGTTGTGGCCTGCACGATGTGGCGACGCGCGTCAAACGAGCGATGCATGGATGCGATTAATGTGGGTTTCGTCGTCAGCTGGACGAATACCCACGCGTCGTAATGGGCGCGACGATCGTCACTGCCCATCCGCATAAGCCACATCGTCGTGGCGAGCATTACCCGCATTGCCTCGGCTATGCTCTTCAGCCTCTCATGCGACACCCGACCGCCTTCGATTCCCTCCGCCGTGCTCACGGCGCTCGTGAACGCACCCACCAGTCTCTGGACGCTCGCTTCCTGATACACCGCCAACTCGTCGTCCTCGTGCCTGTCTTCGATGTAAGCACCGACGAACCACAGTGGCAGCTTCATGTCCATGTCAAGCGTAGTGTGGAAAACCATGGGGCTCACACACACACGCCAGTCTTCCCCCATCCAGATCGTATGCGCGATGTCAGTCGCCGCATGGTTCAGCGCATACCCGTACGCAGCATGGTAACCCCGTTGCCTGCTCGCGGACTTGAACACCCACCCGTGGATCACCCGCAGAGCGATGGTCTGCACCTTCAACGCCCTATCTTGCGTAGCGCTGAGCTCCGATTCGTCGTCAATTTTGTGCTGCGGGATGGTGGTGTGTGGCAGGACGATGCTGCGTCGAATCGCAGGAGGCTGCMCMCCCCGCGCCACCGCCACAAGATACAACCGCACTTCCTGCATGAGCTTGACAATGGCGTTTCCCTCCGTCTCGTTCCAAAAACGAATGTCGTCCACCCACAGTTTGGACGCCGCGCCGATCCCTTCACGCGCGCTGCGCTGGCGCACCCTGTTCGCCAACGCTTCATTGTCCTCCCCGACTCCAGCGACGGCGCCTGCCCTGCTCCCTTCGCCAGCATTCCCCCCACTTGCTCTGGCTCCTTCCACCGCATGCGAAGCCCCCACAGTTGCGGCCCCGCCTGACCTCCCCCCTTCACCAGCCAAGGACGCACCACCCGCCGTTGCGGCGCTTGCCTTTGGCACTTCCGCAGCGCGCGCTGCAACCACTGTCGACGCCCCACGATCGTCATGCGCAGGAGATCGGCTGGCGATCCCCTGAGCAATGCCTTGTGCGACGACACCGACTTTTGTGGCCGTCGTTTGTCATGGGGTTGATGGCGTTTGGCCGCGGACGAACACCTCTTGGGTGGCCAGGGGTTCGTTGACACGTGGCAAAGGCACACGGTTCTGCTGCGTGGCGGCACTCTCCCCGGCTCGGCCCATCGCCAGACGAGCGATGACATTGGCGTCTTGTTCAATTGGCCCGCGGCCCCCTGCGCAACGCCTCTCGCCGACGTCATCGATCCGGAGGGCTCCAGTCTGCCTTCTGGAGGACTTGCGCTTCATTGGGATTTCCTCCGATTCCGCGAAGTCGCTTTCCACGTGTGAATCGTCCCCCTCCGCCACATAGTCTTCCGCGTCTACGTGTATCGCCATCGCAGAGGCCCCTTGGACGAGATTCCTCTGTTTGTTCGCCACGTGGCGGCCCCTTTTATCGCGGAGAGACGCGTCAAACGCCTGTTTTCCGGCAGACCTCCCGCGTCCAGAACCTCGGGATGCCATGACGCGGGACACACCCTCCACGACACGCAAGGATGGTGGGTGGAGTGACGGCCCGTATCACCGCCGACTCGGCGCCAAGAAGAGCGGCAATGATGGGGGCATAGAGCACGACGTCGAAGTCGACGAAGACGAGAGAGCACCCCCACCAAGGCGTTTACGAAGGCCTTCGACAGCGCGACAGCGCAGATGGTGACGAAGGCGACAAGGTTCACGTGAGCGACGTCGGTGTTGAAGACGCACACGATGAGGGCGAAAAAGGCGACGAAGGCGCACAAGAAGACGTTGGCGCAGTCCGAAGACGGGGTGGAAGGCGAAGGCACGTCGGTGTTGAAGACGAACACGATGACGGCGAAAAAGGCGACGAAGGCGCAGAGGAGGACGTTGGCGCAGCCAGAAGACGGCGTGGAAGGCGAAGGCTGGATCGACTGCAGGTGCGGAAAGTAAGGCGGCGAGGATCGCTAGAAGGCGACGTATGTGAGTGCGTTTGCAACGAGCGGGTGAATGACGAGAAAGGATTCAACGGCGGGGACAAATACGACGGCGACATTGCGAGAAGGACGTGAGCGAAGAAGGCGACAGGGCAAGTAGTGAGTGGCCCGCGTGGTCACTGCGATGTTTGCTGTTGCTTTGCTGGGTCCGCAAGCTTTTAAAAACACGTCCCCTGTGCGGTGGAGGGCGACGACTGGACACCCTTGACGACTGCAAAACGACGACTCCATCCCCCAACGTTCTGAATCATTCTACCACAGGCCTTGTCTCGGGCGCGGAAACGAAAGGCCAAATGTTGCGGGGCAAAATATTGGGGGACGTCGACCACGCCGCACATATCGTGGCCACCCTTCGTCAATCGCGCCTACAAAGGAGCCCCTCGCCTAGAAGTCAGCCCCCAAAGCAGTCGCCATCAACGACCACCCAACCTCCCGCCTGACATCTTAGCTACCAGGAGGATTGAGCACTCGCGGGAGACTCACTTGCCCTCCACCCCTCATAACCCGCCCTCCCCTCAAACGATTTGATCGCCAACCACCCCCCATTGAAAAAAAAAAAAAAAAAAAAAGGGCGGAGAGTGTTTGCGGGTTGGTGAATGGTGGGGGACTTGTGGACAGCCGCTTTCGTCCCGGCGACGTCCCCCTACCGCCGCCCGGACGTTTGGCAACCGCAAACACACCCCTGGTTGGATAACAGCACAAAACAGGATATCAGCAAACATCCGCATTTGCAAGTCTCCAACTACCATGAATGGACATCCGCATTCAGACGACAAGTTTCAATCTCCAAGGGATCATGTCATGCACATCAACGACTTTTTTTGCCTGTTCACGACATCAACAACAACACTCCAGAATTGGACGGCATTCAAGACAAAACCTTTATCTACTTCTGGTACACCTCTCGATCACTACCGCAAGAGAGTGACTGCCACGACACACACACACACACACACACACACAGGGAGAGAGAGAGAGAGAGAGAGAGAGAGAGA